GGGGGGGCATGAAATTTACAATTTAAGTTAAGCCCCTGATGATCTTTCTTTCCATGCAGAGAAAATGAGTGAAGTACCTCTGAGTCTGAAGAAGATTTTTGAAATATTGGTTAATTTTCCCTTTGGGGCCCCGCCCTGGCCCCAGGGGTTGGCGTAGGAATCCCAATTTTACAATTTTGTAGCCTCATCTACCAAGGATGATTCTGACCAAGTTTGAAAAAAATCCATCCACTGGTTCTTGAGAAGAAGTTGAAAATGTAAAAAGTTTACACACGAAGACAGAAAGCGATTAGAATAGGTCACTTGAGCAAAGCTCAGGTGACCTAAAAATATTCAAAACAATTTGTAAAACAATATATGAATTAATTTCCTAACAGATCCACAGGGAAAATGGCCTGCTTTACATCCCTCTGTCTGATCATAGCGAGCGACCAATAATAATGAGAGTCCTGGAGAATCAGGAAATAATTTCTTTTCTTCAGAATTGTCTTCTCCTTATAGGAAAACTCAAGAAACCTAACTACATGCATCATGCTGACCCTAGTACAATGTCTGGGTTCTTTTTTCATTCCGTTTCTTCTGACTTTCTACGATTTGTTTATATTTCCGTCTCTCTTGAATCACACCCTCCTTTATTACTGTTTACCTATTTCCTACTGTGTGAACCTTGGACATTATTTTACATCTTTAGTCTAGACATGTACATTGTAAGTAAAAAACTAATATATATGCAAGACCACACACTTGTGTTTTTCTAACGAATCAGAAAGCACTCATTTATTGCGCGGACGAATATATTCACGAGCGCGAAAAAATATGTACGGTATACCACACTGAAAAACCTCTAGTTACAGTTATAAGAACCTTTATCTGACCTTATTTATGTTTTTTTTAACTTTTGATAATAATTTATTCATTCAAATTTCATTCAACACAATTAAAGATTTTACACTGTTAGTCAAAACACAAGTTAGGGGTACAAAAAGACATACATGTATAACCAGATTTTTTACCCATGTATATATATATATAATAAAACAGATTATATTTACATACAAAATGTGATATACATGTTATCAGTCAGTCTATGCTACTTTTACATTTTGCCTAAATGGACTTAGGTTGTCACTGGTCTGTAAAACAATACGAAAAAACCTGGACGTTCTATTACATTTGTCCAAAAAGGACTTAATTATTTTGGATGGTCCATAAATTTTCAAGAAAAAATACAAATTTCGTTAATAAAACCAGCGACACTTCATGGCTGATTTTTTTTTAAACCTCCACAGATTTCTAGTTGGACGAATGTTTTTGTTCACTTTATACACATAATATTTGATTATACTACTATGACATTATGCTTGTTATGTAGCTTGGGGTTTATCTTATCCTGACCAGCTCAGAGAATGGATTATTTCTAAACAAGATGATAAGGTCTAATGGTGTTCTGTTGTTTGAGGCCCGTGGCAAACAAATAGTAACCGGTGAAGACGTGACGATCCCCTAATATCTGATCCTATCCACATACGATCCCCTAATATCTGATCCTATCTACATCCTGTTCATATCTAGATAACTACACAGAACACATTTAGCACAGTTGTATTTGGTTCCAGGGACTCCACAGTTCTTGAATGATATTTTAGTGACTGTTACAAGATTGTAGGGGCCTTTAGGGACTGTTACAAGATTGTAGGGGCCTTTAGGGACTGTTACAATTTTAGGGGCCTTTAGGGACTGTTACAATTTTAGGGGCCTTTAGGGACTGCTACAATTTTAGGGGCCTTTAGGGACTGCTACAATTGTAGGGGCCTTTAGGGACTGTTACAATTGTAGGGGTCTTAAGGGATTGCTACAATTTTAGGGGCCTTTAGGGACTGCTACAATTTTAGGGGCCTTTAGGGACTAGCTGTTACAATTGTAGGGGCCTTTAGGGACTGCTACAATTGTAGGGGCCTTTAGGGACTGTTACAAGATTTTACGGGCTTTTAGTGACTGTTACAAGATTTTAGGGGCCTTTAGGGACTGTTACAAGATTTTAGGGGCCTTTAGGGACTGTTACAAGATTTTAGGGGCCTTTAGGGACTGCTACAATTTTAGGAGACTATTTCATAACAACTTTATTAATTCATAATACTAATAACATGGTATGGTATATATCCTCAATTACCAATCATGCTCAAACAGCTTAATTTTCTTGCAGTGCTTTTTTTCTTTAAAGAAAATTACTAGAACACTGACACTCTGGTCAGCAAGAGACCCGCCATGTGCTTGATCTGATCCCAAATGGTCTACATGCATTCTAATCAACAGTGACCTCGACGTTAGCAAGGTTTAAACCCCCTATTGAACATCTACATAGCGCAGTGTATCACTATCACAAATTTCAAAAAGATTATAATCTTTTTGATTCTGAGTTAATGGAAAAGAAGGTGTGGATGGAAATTTTGATTTTAACAAATGGGCACCAGAAACTACGATGTGAAGTCCAAACAGTGTCACAATTTCAGTTCCATGGCCCCCATGTCCTATTACCTGCCCCCACACACTTTTAGGATTTATACGGTATACCACACACTGTATAAAGAACTCACCCTTTCTCTCCTCCTCCTCAGCAATCTGTTTGTAGCTATGCCAGTCAATTTTCTCCAGTGGAGCGTCAGCTGGAGGCAGCTGTTGACAAAGGATTGACAGTAAATATTGATACATCACCATCAGCTTGTCGGGATTAATTATACCACAGAAATCATCAATTTTATTGACTCCACGGTGGTATTTTATATAGCAGGCCTAGGTATACACAGAATCTGTGGACTCTATCCTTACTCCTCCTTTTAAATAAGTGAAGCTAGGTTTTATACTATTATTACCAATGGATCAGTACAACATGTTTTCTTAACAATTTCAAATCAAACAAACATGCTGTATACAAAGAAAAGTGCTTTAATCCTAGAATTTCCTTTTTTCTTTTATATTTTTTTCTTTCAAAGTAAGTGTATTATGAAAGATCTTCAAAAAATCCTGATAGAATATATTATTTTTCAAACAAATTAACATAATTTTTTTTTTTTTAAACGAAACAGCTGAACCTCAAGGATCTATTTACACATTACACATATACAGCATGTAATAACTCAATCCTTCCAGCGTCTAATTTTGATATACATTACTGCTAAATTAACCTTTTCATTGATACACGTGAACTCGAAAGGAGAATATGACTATACACCGCTGTGACCAATACAATTTTCTACAAGAACTTGAATCTATATAGCATTTTGTTTACCTTTTTTAATTTTTCCCATTTTACAACCTTAAACCTTTTCTGTGTTGATGGCTGTAATGCATCTTATTTATAATATTTATTTGGAATTCTTGTAATTTTGAAATCTACTGTACTAGTGTATGTATTACATGGGTTTGTAATGTTTCCACCTACAATGAAAATAATGTGCCAATGTAGCCAAATACTGGTTGTCCTTCTTTTGGATTCTTACATAGAGTTAGGCTTATATAGTAATAAGTATTGAGTATTAGTAAAATTACATGAAACTGTAAAAGTCAAAATAAAATTTGATTCAGGAACCAAGAAAGACTTATTCTATAAAATCTGAGTACATTATGTATATTACATTGTATATCACATTGTATAACATTGTATCACATTGTATATCACATTGTATTACACATTGTATATCACATTGTATTACATTGTATATCACATTGTATTACATTGTATATTACATTGTATTACATTGTATATCACATTGTATATCACATTGTATTACATAGGGTTTTAGCAATACAAAAAAGTGGGGGCTAAAATCAGGCATAAACCACAAACTCTGACCCAAGCTTCAAATATTTTGAGGGGCAAAAGCCATTTTAGGAGGTCATAAGACCCCCATATATAGAGGCAACTGAAATGTGGATTACAGAGAACGAGTTAGATCAGTCTTCTGATATCCGTACATGTTGTTAGCTAGAGAAATTAGCCTTTAAGATTCAAATCACCTCATAAATTTATTATGAAATTAAAGTTTGTATTTGTCACATAACAATAAAATGTAAAGGAATTTTTGGCAAATGTGTGCAGTTTTTATTGCCACGTAACAATGATTGATGACTTTGTATCTATAATTATTCTTCCTCATGCCAAAACAAGTGATATTTATTGCAGGATGGAGATAATATGTAAAACTCTGACAAGGTAATAATGTGAAAAACCATGTTACATACAAACAATGTACACTGTAATTAATCATGAAACCCAAGGGATTAAAAGTCAGCACCTTTAAGAAAAATTACCACCATGCATGCATCAATATAATCCAACAAATTAGAATGTACATTTACTTTACAAACATTTTTATTCAACTTGTTTAGCCAATCTTATTTTTGAGATACCAGTGCACATCACTGGTGACTTTATGCAGGGACTGTGTCACTGTATTTTTCCAACAACAAACTGTGACAAGTGCCACTTGGTACCATATATCGTTATAAATTAAGAAACCAATGCCAACCGGATAAGTTTCATCACAATATCTGAAACAGTTTAAAAATTATGGTGAGCTATGTTTTACTGAAAATTAAGCACATATATTCCACCTTTGACTTTGAGGTGAAGGTCCCGGTGACATCTTCACAGCACACGCTGTTCATAATCTGTCCATCAAACTTCCCCATCAACATATCTTACAAAGAGTTATATGGCCAGGACAATTTTTGATTACTGTAAAAGCAGAAATTTTGCAGCATGAAATCTAGGGTTTTTCATGTAAATTAGTGCAAAAGTATCCACCTACAAATATTTATTTATAGACTGTTATTATTGTAGATAATTATATCGGAACCATTATTGCCAAAGAAAAAATGTCCAAATCCTTGATCAGTTTAAACTGTCACAGTGCAAACACCGTCAATGCATAGGGACTTCTACTTTTACAGTAAAACTGGAAGGGAACCGTGCGATATGAACCAAGTAGTAAAACAACATGTCTGCCATCACTGCAAGGGGAGACAACAATAACTCACCTCCTTTGGGACTTTAACCTTCTCCTCCTTATTTAATTTGAAACATAAACCAACATAATTAAAAAATTGAACAGTTTGCTGTGTACTGTATGTCCACAAATATTTAAGTAACATCTAAATCTAACAAAATAAAACTAGAGCATTTGTGATTGTGTGAAATTCCCAATTTGGATGCACATGGGACATTTCTCCTTTTCCAAAGGCTGAAATTTGGAATTTACAAATCAGGGATTCAGTAGATTGTAGATTGTATCAAGGATTTATTCAACTGAATCAGGGATGTAGTTAGTATGAACATGCACTTTCTCCTTAAAACAGGTAAAGGTCATACCCAAGATTTAAAAATGTGTCAGTATATATATATTCCTGTAATAATTTTCTTCAGCAGAGAAAAGCTATATTTTCCTGCCATAATATTCCTGAAGTGATAAGAACTCAGAGGAAAGCTAAGTTTTAAATGAGGAAGCTGTCTCACTCTTGCCATGATATATTGTACATAAACGGACCCTCCCTGAGAGTACAAACATGTACTTCAGTTATCTTAAACATTTAACATGTACACTTCCTAATGGCTACTCAATTTAGAGAAGCTACTCGCCTGATAGAAAATCTCCTACTTAATGGTGACGTTTAATTTTGAGCAGGTTGTGATTGAATTGCCTTTTTATTATGTTTACTTTTGGATTATCTATAAAATTGAAGGCTTCCATCTGCAAGATCAATGACAAATTCTCCGACAATAACGCATTGTATGTTACTGAAATAAAATAATCTGTTAAGGTGATCAGGTCAGACAACTTCAGTGCAGAAAGAACGTAGGCCTCGTCAAAAATGGAACGGTTAGTGACACTCTGTATTATGACGATGTACGTATACATAGAGGAAATATCTGAAGACTTGACATTAAAAGAAGTTAAAGGTCTCTTACTGTTACTAGTGCGGCCTACAATCTGACTATAAAATATCAAACCGCTTTTTTATTACTTTGATGAATTTTAAAGTCCGATGAGTCCACACATAGCATTTTATGTATTTCAGTTCTTCATCTATATATAAAGGCACTTAAATAAATACTCAAGTATTTTTCTTTCTTTTTCATTATGAAATTTACCCCAAAAATGATGACAAATTTTAACATCCTTATCAAAGGAAACAATTCACATTTCCAAACAAACAAATATTTAAACAGAAATAAAATGCAGCTTCAAATCATTTGTATATAGCAAGCCTGATATAATATTATGATCAGCAGGCTCTTTTTGACAGATATGCACGAAAAGGCAGATGTACTTCAAATTTACACATATATAGCAATTTATGAATAATAATTAATCTTTTTAAGTGGTTTACCTGAATTTTTAAAAAACACTTGTGTTTAAGTGGTAAACTATGGCAACACTTAAGAGTTTATACGAAAGTAATTGGGAACAATGAGCATTTATAAGTGATCTTGAGAGTAAATACATGTAAAGTTACTGGTATATGGTAGAGAGACGTTTATAGACGTGTTGACTGTATGACCTTGCTAGACTGTGGCATCATAAACCACTATTGATTTAAAGAAAGCAGAACTTTACATGTATATTCAATGTCTAACTGAAGATTCCCTAAAGAAGGCTGGTAGTGACAGCAAAATCTTAGATCCTGAGGTTTTTTTATAGGTCTGACATGTAGGAAGTTTATATTTATTCTAACAAGTTCAATTGACCAGAAGAATTTTTGAGACTTTTCTATAACACATAAACTTTAACAAGAGGCCCATGGGCCTTAACGGTCACCTGATATATTTATACAGAGAGTTGATTTTGTTTTTAACATGAACAGAAATATTATTCAAAATGACCAAAAATAATAAAACCACCTTATTCAATATCTAGCATACAGATTTCAGACTAAAAAGTATTTGAAACTAGCACCTCTGATTCTATAAACAAGGAAAATGAAGAAAAGCACACTGACTCCTTTGAGCCCCATCCTACAGACCTTGGGGGTAGGGCTGGCTCAAAATTTTCAAAGTATCAAACTGTCAACTCAAGGTTATAATTCCAATCAATTACAAGTTATTAACATGTAATATTCAAAGTATCATTTGCCATTATAAACCATAATAAATTTTGCCCCCCCCCCC